AGAAAAAATGGATGTGTGTGTGTGGATACAATTTTTTGTCTACGTTTTTGGGCGCACGGATCAATGGTTCAAAAAACATTCGATTCCTATTGATAGAGAGAGGTGCTGATTAGTTTTTGGCAAAGGCAAGTCCAGCCGTTTAGGAGATACGGAGCAAAGAGTGCAGAAAATAGAATTCGAGTTTTTGAGAGATCGGAGCATCCGATTTGAATGATCCAAAAAACATTCAATTTGTAATTATGGGAAAACGTGGTGATTTATTTTTGGCTAAGACAGGTGCAACCGTTTCAGAGATGTCAAGCTAAATGTGCGAAAAATGGCAGTTTTTGAGAGAACTAAGCATCCGATTTGAATGATTCAAAAAACTTTCTGCTTGTGTTGACGAAACAATTGCTTTTGAGGCCCTTTTTATTTTTTAATGACTATTGAGTTTCAATTAAATAATCTATTGAGTGATTTTTGTATAATTCTGCAGTTATTTCCAATTATATTTTTTCCTCATTGCCCCTGGGTAATCTGCAGCGATGTTTACCAATTGAATATCTAAAAATGTGTTGTGCGAGGCAAAACACCGCTGTATTATACAAAAAACATTAATAGATCATCATTATTATAGTTTAATAGATATTATTTATAGTCTAGAAAATATTTCTGTAAAAATTTTAGCAAATGTAGAACGTAATTTTTAGTGAATGTAGAAGTATAAAATATATAAGTAAAAGAGGCAGCCAACACAAATTAAAAGGATCGTTTGCCTACTGCAACGCATATCTTATATAAATATTCCTAGGACATATTAATAGTTATTACAGTGCTAGTCTAATCTCAAACTGATTTCATTTAAATTGAATTGGTAGATTTGGATATTCAAGGTTTTTATATATTACCACCGCGCAGTTTGTTAATTCAATAATTTTTGAAGTCCAAACATTCGTTTTTCAAACTATGTCGTGGCATTTCTAGTGAATCGAGTGAGATTGCAAAAACTCTGTGAAAAAAATTACAATTTTGCCATAGATTTGGAAAAACTGTTCTATCTTCAGAAAAGCACTTTTGCTCAGCTGTTTTCTTAGATATATCCCAAGCATTTGATAAAATGCGGCACAAAGGATTTTTTCATAAACTATTATTAATTATGCCAAAATCACTGTATCTTATTTTATGTTCATACCTAACAACCCGATTTTGATAAATGTTGGAAACATTAGTTCCTCATTAAAAGCCATCAAATCAGCAGTACCACAAAGAAGTGTCCGTTTTCTTCCTTCTCTTCACATCAGATATACCAGTTTCGCCTAACACTTATACTGCAATCGAGACATACATCATGGCCCATAACGGATATTCTGCAGTTGCATCAGGTAATCTCCAACAACACTTTATTGAAAGGTGGCTCACCTTCTGGAGGATGAATGTCAACAGCCAACAATCCAAGCATATCACGTTCCCGCTGATATATAGAAGATATATGTCCGCTTATAACAATATTTGGAGAAAGTATTCCACCAAGAAACATCTTTCAAATATTTGGGTCTATATATAGATAACAAGTTAAATTGGAAAGTACACATAATAAAAAAGAAATGAGAGATCGAAAAGAATATCAAACAACTCTACTCAGTCCTAGGGGTTAAATCTCATCTGTTCACCCTCAATAAGTTACAAATATATAAATCAATATTAAGGCCCATATTGACCTATGAGATCTAACTGTGGGGTTCCGCTAGCAATTATAATATAAACATCTTAAGAAACCATAAGATCCTGCTGATCGGCACTCAGATATCTACTAAGCTGGATTCTCCATCAGGATACAAACATGAGTACGGTGCAAGAAGAAATGCATCGCTACGCAAAGAAACACGTAGGAAGGCTAGCCGAACACGCCTCTGACCTCGCCAGAATATTGCTACAAAGCAATTTTCTACACCTTCCTATTGATGGGGAGACATACTGATTAGTTCTTGGCCAAGACGGGTCCAGCCGTTTTGAAGATACGGGGTAAAAAGTACCAAAAATGGTAATTCAGTTTTCGAGAGAACGGAGCGTCCAATTAAATTAAAGAAAGGGTAATTTAAAAAAAAAAACAACATTTTATTTGTATTAACAAAAAAATAATTGATTAAATTTTTGGGAATCCAATAAGAAAATTAAAAAATTAAAATTTTTTGAAAACTTTGAAAAATATGAGATTGATATTTGAAAAAAAATTGACTTTTTTGAAAAATTTGAATAATTTTTTAACTTTCCGTAAAGTAAGTTATAGTAATCGCAAGAAAATCGAAAAAAAAAACTAGTGGGGCGCATGACATCGTGCCTTAAGGCAAATTGCTTAAACTTCCCGTACCAAAAATTATTTTTTTTTTAAAAAGATTAACATTTTTGAAAAAAAAATTACTTTGAAAAAATTAGATTTTTGAGAAACTATAAATTTTTGACAAAAATTTACTTTTTTTTTGAAAAAAAAGACATTTTAAAGAAAAATTGATTTTGAAATATTTTGGAAATTCTGAACTTTGTTTCAAAGCAATCGTACTGCTTTAACTGCATAGAGACGAAGTATCGAAGCGCGTAAGCGCCGCGTCGTCGTCTAACGCATAAACATTGGTACGGAACCTATAGAAATGTAAACAAAATTTATACTTATTGTTAAAGTCTTTATAAAAATATCTGATAATTTGATGTGCATATGTTTAATGTTCATTTTTGACCGCCAAATGGCTCATTTTTTTACTTTTTTCTCTATATCTCCGAAGTCGTTGCACCTTCCTTTACAAAAATTTAAACATTTTTTCATTTAGTCAATACAAATAAAATGTTTTTTGAATTATCCAAATCGGACGCTCCGTTCTCTTAAAAACTGAGTTACCGTTTTTGGCACTTTTTGACCCATATCTTTGGAACGGCTAGACCTGTCTTTACCAAAAACTAATCAGCACGTCTCCTTATTAATACAAATCGAATGTTTTTTGAATTATTCAAATCCCTTCATCTGTGTTCCCGAAATCGTCGACGAAAATTTGTATCCGAACACACACACATACACGCACACACACACACATACATCCATTGTTTCTAAGGTATTCCAAAATGTTCAGAAGGTTTTGAAACGTAAAGATATATAAAAATTTTCGTTTTCGATTTTTTTGCGATTACTATAACATGCCCTACGGGAAGATAATTATAAATCTTTACGTTTCAAAGGTTTGTGAACATTTTGGCATACCTTAGAAAAAATGGATGTATGTGCGTGTGTGTGAGTGAGAGAGTGTATGTGTATGTGCGGATACAAATTTTCGTCGATTCCTGTTGATAAGGAGAAATACTGATTAGTTTTTGACAAAGGCAAGTCTGGCCATTTCGAAGATATGGGACAAAAAGTGCCAAAAATGTAACTCGGACTTGTATTGACAAAATCAAGAATTGATTAAATTTTTTGAAAAGCAGGTCTAGTGGTTTCGGAGATCTAGTAAAAAAAGTGTAAAAAGCCATTGGGCGGTCATAAATTATTATCATTAGACATATGGATTAAATTTTCAGATATTTGATTGAGATTTTAATAATACTTGTAAATGTTGTTCACATTTCTATGGATTCCGTAGACGTCGACGCGGCGCTTACGCGCTTCGATAGTTTGTCAATAAGACAGCATTAATTTTCACAAAAAAGTTTATTTTCCAAAAATTTTAAAATTCTCCAAAATCTATTTTTAACTTCCCGTAGGGTAAGTTATAGTAATCGCAACAAAATCGAAAATTAAAATTTTTATATATCTTTACGTTTTAAAGGTTTCTGAGGCATACCTTAGAAAAAATGGATGTATGTGTGTGCATGTGTGTGTGTGTGTGTGCGGATACAAATGTTCGTCGACGATTTCGGGAACACGGATGAAGCGATTTGAATAATTCAAATAACATTCGATTCGTATTGATAAGGAAACGTGCTGATTAGTTTTTGGAGGTGCCAGGTCTTGCTGTTCTGAAGATATGAAGCAAAAAGTGCCAAAAACGGAAACTCAGTTTTTAAGGGAACGGAGCGTCCGATTTTAATAATTCAAAAAACATTTTACTTGTATTGACAAGATGAACAACTGATTTATTTTTTTTATTAAGTTTATTATTATATATATTTTTTAATTAAGTGAAAAAAATGCTATTTGGCGGTCAAAAATGATCATTAGACATATGCACATTAAATTATTAGATATTTTATGGAGATTCCAATAATGTGTATCAATTTTGTTTGCATTTCTACGGGTTCCGTAACATCGTTTGTCCGCTAGACGGTGGCGCGGCGCTTACGCGCTTCGATATTTCATCTCTATGCAGCCAAAGCAGTGCGAATGCTTTGAAAAATAGTTCAAAATTTCCAAAATATTTCAAAATAAAAAAAAAACATTTTTTTGCCAAAAGTTTTTTTTTCAAAAATTCATTTTTTTTTTTAAATTTAAAATTTCTCAAAAACTTAATTTTTTCAAAGTTTAAAGAAAAAATTTAATATTTTTAAAAAAATATATTTTTTTGGTACGGGAAGTTCCAACAATTTGCCTTAAGGCACGATGCCATGCGCCTCACTAGTTTTTTCAAAATTCTTAAGCAAAATGTTTAAATTACGGTACGGAAAGTTCCAGTAATTTGCCTTAAGGCACGATGCCATGCACCACTAGCACCGGATATGACATAACGTTCGCTTGCAATTTTGAACTTGCACCCGTTTGGTAATGTTATTCGTAGTTGACATTTGCGGATTTACCGTTCTATACGTTATAACCGGCGATCGCGTGCGGATGAGGTTATCGATAACAATGAAGAGTGTTGCCCAGTACAGATTCCACTGTTCCCAGTTCGCTTGCGGAGCTCGATGGTGTCACATTGTCGGACGGACGTCGTCCTAGTAGCACGGGACAATATCGCCGCTGAACCGCGCCGGACGATTATGTGTGTTTTTTAAATAAAAATATATAATAACAAAATAAATATATATATCATTAATTATATATTGTTTGTTGTGGTGTACTGTGCAGTTTTTTTAAGTAAACAGTTTGTAAAAATCCTGTTACACAAGTTGTTTCTTTATTTAACCAAAAAGTGTTGTGTTTTGGGTCAAGATGTTGATTTGTAAGTACGAAAATTATTTTTTCGATATACATATATATGTATATATATGTATTTATATATATATATATATATAAATTTCTTTTAGCTGAATGATGAGACACATCTAGTCTCGAAACGTATAAAAAATTAAAATAAATTCTTTACATTCGACGCATTGGCTGTTTTATTCATATATATATATATATATATATATATATATATATATATATGCAATGTGTTTGTATGTAAATAAAGATAACAGTTTTAAAAAGCAATCCGCAAAAATTAAAAATATTTCGACGATTCCGTTCTATCGTCAGATTTTCTGCGAGTCTGATTGAAAATCACTTACTTTGTGAAAAAATGTTTTCTTGACAACACCCAATGTAAATACGTATAATATATGTACTTATAGACAGGGTCGGTCTTGGGGTTCTCAGCGCCCGCATGCCATTCTTTTTCTAGCGCTGCCCCCCCCCCCTCTTATTATTTTAAGTTTTTCAACAGTTTATCATTAAAATTAGAAAACATTTACGTCATTTTTTTTTTAAATTCTTTTCAATAATTCTGGATTTAAAACGCATAAAATACATTGATTTTAGATTTATTTCGAAGTGATTCGAGGATCGAGGGTGCTCATAATCAAACTGTTGTCTTCTATCCAAACTTTTCTAATTTTAAATACAAAAATTGTTTAGGACATCCAAAAATTTCAGTATGTTCATTATTGTTTGCAAGAATATTTTTAAATTTTAAATTATTTGTAATGCAGTTATAATATTGATATTTAGGTTTTGAAACATTACACTTATTCATTTAGGAGATTTCATGCGATTTAATCTATTGAGCAGCGAAAAAATTCTAGCCTTTCAATAATAAACACTGGTACTTCATGTTGGATTATTTAAAATTAATTTTTCATTATTTAAAATATACAGAATTGATATTCCCCAAATAATTGATATCGTAAGGGCCGAACAGTATGTAGCAATCTTTACTATCTCATAGTGTATCAGATCGTTGTTTTAAAGTATTTTAAAAAATATTATCCAAAGATTATTTCTTGAATGACATTGACAAAACTATGTTATAAATTTCATATCCGAATCTCATTTTGGCGCCCCCTAAGGCGTGCACCCGCATTTTTCGCATGCATTGCATTCAAGGTAAGACCGGCCCTGCTTATAGATATGTTTCAAATATATCAATTTTTGTTTGCAAAATATTATTACTTATGATTGTTTTTGCAACATTTAACTATTCAAACATAAAAATAAATCATAAAAAACCGGTTTTAAACGCGATCATTTTTAACTCTTTTATCTATAAAACCGAGCGCAAAAAATAGAAGCAAGTACTTAAACTCACTGAGCTACCGAGGCATAGTAATTACTAAGGAACACTATGCGTTCGAATTGCGCGGGGTCTATTTTTCTAAACTTTAATTTTATTTATAAACTACTTAGCATAGGCCTATAATATTCTAAACTGTTGGTTTCTACTATCAACTCCATCGCCATGCAAAGTTACATCAAAATTCCAAAAAAGTAAACCTGGGGTTCTCCTTGTGAGCACTGCTCTTTAAATTATTATTTTATTTATTTCGTGAACTTCAAAAAATCACTTTAGAAGTCATTGCTTTAATTGGTTAATTATAGCACAGGTTATTTTATATATTTTGTGTTATGATTTTTGTCGTACAGTTATTATTAGATTATAATATTATATGTACATATACATACATAGGGGAGCTAGGGGCTACCTGTAATAAATGTAACAAGTAACATGTGTTTTACAATAGCATCTTAAATGTTTTTTTAATCATTTTAATGATTTCGAAATATTTTTTTGTTTTGGCTGGACATGTAATCCGCCCTGTATAATATTGTCATAGCTACTGTAACGCACACACAATAAACAGAAATGTGCAGGTCCGTCACTTTTGGCAATATAAAATTGATCTGTCATAAAATTTCAGATAGCATTATTATTATCGACTAATTTTTAAATTTTATATATTTTATTTCGTTTTAATTTTTGATTTTGTCTAACAATGTTTATGATTGCTAAGTTGTGTAAATCATTATTTTGATTTATATAAGAAGTACACCTGGGGTTAGTTGAGATGAAAACTTGACGAATGAAAATTGGACTCGAATGAAAAAGATGGAATATATGCAATGTATAGTTTGTAAGATGTAGGAAAATTTAAATTGTGTTACAAGAGAGTGACACTGTATTTTTTATTTGTCTTATGGTATTAATTGTAGTTTACGTTGATTTGATGAAAATTTATATTACAGAAGATATTATAATATATATTGAATTTGTATTATTTATTGTGAAATAATGGACAGAGTTATGGAATTATTTTCACGAAATTTGGTAGAGGAATTGTTAAAGCAACTATCCATCTTTATTTCGTAGAAATATAATCAGTGGATCTCAAGATATATTATTTTTAAAGAAAAATGTTAGGACAAAATTAGGACTAAACACACAAAGACATATATATATATATATATATATATATATATATATGCATTATACACGTGTTTTCTAATAATGCTTTTTGTCTGAATTATAATAATGCATGCTATAGTCTTGTTTGATGTATTAACTACGGTTGAACAATAGCGTCCATATATTGAGTTTTATGGTTAAAATTTTGTTGTTAATATAATATATAAACAAAATCAAATAAAAATCCAATTTATATATGTTCACAGTTTCTTTATTTTTATCATTAGTATTTAATTAATAAATATAAATAAATAATAATGAGTGATAAAAATATCAATTCATACCAAGGTCAACCTTTAATTGTAAGTAAAACTTAGTGTTAACTTCTCATTCAACATTTATTTTTCGAATTCTATTTAATTTATTACAAAATTATATTATGCATTCATTATAATCATATTATCCTAACTAAACTTTTTAAGTGCTTTTGAAGCTACTCTGTAAAATATTACACCTCTCACACGTTTCAGGCAGTTAATTCTATCCAAAATAAATCATATAGATTAATATATATTATAATTTTAAATTAATAAATTAAGTTGATAATTTGATAAACTATATTGATTACTATTTTATGTAAATTATATATTTTCAATCTACAGTTTTTTCGGATCTGTTGGTAAAATAAAATAATGAATGAGTTGCAGCACATTCAAATGTTTCAATTTAACCATATTGATAATATGATACAAATCACGATTATCATCGATGCTGGAACTTCCCGTACCATAACAAAATGTTCGAGTAATATTAAATGTTTTCAAATATATTATTATAAATAAATACTGTAGCACTGTCTAATTTATAAGAATTATTTAAACTGAATCACAAAGTTTAAATTATTTATTTAACGTATATAAGTCAGCTTTAGAACTTTAGTCAGAATTAAAAATAAAATCTGAATTATTTTTGATTTTGAAAAAAAAAAATTAATTTTTTTTTCCAAAATCAATACAATCAGAAAGTTTTTTGAATCATTCAAATCAGATGCTTATTTCTCTCAAAAACTGCCATTTTTTATACATTTAGCTGTTTATCTTCAAAATGGCTAGACCTGTCTGTGTCAAAAACTAATCACCACTTCTCCCAATCATTACAAATTGAACGTTTTTTGGATCATTCAAATCGGATACTCCGTTCTCTCAAAAACTCGATTTATATTTCCTGCACTCTTTGCTACGTATCTCTGTAACCGCTGGACCTGCCTTTGTCAAAAACTAATCAGCACATCTATCAATAGGAATCGAATATTCTTTTAACCATTCAAATCGGTTGAAAACACACACATACACATCCGTTTTTTTCTCAGGTATGCCAAAATGGTCGGACACCTCTGAAAAGTGAAGACATGCAAAAATTCTCATTTTCGATTTTTGGCCCGTTACTATCACTTACCCCACGGGAAGTTGATAATAAGGCAATATCAACAATATATAACATGTTAGCTATATGTTTAACATAGTAAATGTTATAATGGTAAACCATTATAATAATATAAGAAATCAAATATATAAATTTAACATTTTGGGGACGGCTGTCCACCTCAGTGGACAAACATACTCTGTGACGCACAGGCTATTTTATAAACAATGACTCAGTTTGCATCAAAAAGTTGAATAAATTACATATAGCAGTGATAAACAGTATTGTATTTTGAAAATAATTTTAAATTATTTTAGTAGTATTTTTAGCCTGTTTCTTTGCTATATGGTATTTTTTTTAATATTTAAAACGACCGAGCGCTTTTAAATATGGTAAAACGACTGGTAAATTTTGTGAATTAAGCAGTAGTGAAAATGAGTTTCAAATAGACATTCATACAGACCAATTTTACGAAATTACTATTCGCACCGATGATAGTGATGAATGTGATGATGATATTATCCAACCAACAAAAAGAAGAAGTTCGACAAAATAAATGAATAGCGGGAAGACATTAGCGAATGTGCCCATTCTCCTTCAATAATCGAGTTTGACATACATCAACAAACACCCCGACTACAAGTACCAAGCAATATAAGACATCCAATAGATTATTTTACTTTATATTTTATGAATAAATTATTAGACAAAATAATAGAAAAAATAAACCATTATGGCAGCAAAAAGATGACCAAATATACTGACTAATCAGTGGCATATTCTAAATTCTAAAAGAAAAAGGGATTGTATTGTCTGTTCTTACAGAAAAGCACCAGGAGGAAGCTGGCGAACAACATTTTATTGTAAAACATGTCAAAATCAATCAGCTATGCATTTTGGAAATTGTGTTGAACGTCACCATTCTTTATAAAATGATCAAAAATAAATTATTATTAAAATATATGTCCTTCAATGACCACAAATTTTTATCAAACAAATTGCATAACATACACAATGAAACCAAGTTTACAGCCGGTAAAGTAGATTGTTTTGAAATTGGTGCCGTCTCGAAAGTGTTAATATATTTGTAAATTACTATCAAAAAAATATGTATTTAAATTATTTTACAACAATAG